ATTCATTTCTTTCCAGTTCGACTATATTTATAAAATCTTTATGAAAGATCACCAATTCTGCAAAGTCCTCTTCTTCATGTCTCTTCTACATCAACATGTGTCCCCTCTTCTTCATGTCTCTTCTACATCAACATGTGTCCCCTCTTCTTCATGTCTCTTCTACATCAACATGTGTCCCTCTTCTCCATGCTCTTCTACATCAACATGTGTCCCCTCTTCTTCATGTCTCTTCTACATCAACATGTGTCCCCTCTTCTTCATGTCTCTTCTACATCAACATGTGTCCCCTCTGTGGAAAGAGACTCTGAAAGTTTCAGGAACAAAGATTCTCTCTCTTTTTGATCCATTTCTATAAAAACCTGTCTGAAAATGAGCTGATCAGATTTTGGCCACTTTATGATGTCATAACGATGTTTTGTCTTGTATAACCATTAGCCAATCAGCAACCAAGGTAACCCCCTCCCCCTTATCACCTGAATCTCCTCCTAGAGCACCATTGTGTTCTTTCTAACCAAATCTCTCTCAGAGGGGCGTGGGGAGGGGCTCCTTATTTTCATCTAAAGTAACAGACAGAGAATCAGCACTTTGGAAACAGGGCTGAAACAGAGGGGATTATGGGTAATGCTGCAATGATCTGTTTGGTGTTTCAGCCAATCAGAGACAGGTTCTGTATATATCTGAGACCTGTGATATATTGATGAAACACAGTATAATCAAATCAGCAATCAAATTGGGCATTCATGTAACAGATGGCACTGTGGAGCTAATAGTACATTTTTTCGGGACTACTTTCAAACACGGATAAATGCGCACTTGGTTCGAGAGCATTTATGGCAGGGTGGCTTATTTGAGATTAAATCAAAATAAAAGACATCATTGTAATGAAAAACGTTTGGTTATTGACACATTTTTTCATACATTTGGGACTACAGTGAAGCTCAATGCGGAAAAATCTGAATCAGGTGTTAACACACACCGTATCACACCGTGTAGATACAAGGAAACCTCATCCTTTGAACTGCCTCTGTAGTTCGTCCACCTTTCACACTGACAAATGTGTGTTAACAGCTAGGAATAAATATCCGTTCAAATATTCTTGTGTTTTATTGACTTCTGGTGTTTGGACTTGATAGTGTACAAGGCACACAAAGGAAAACACACACGGACACTGCCAGGCACAAACTATGGCTGCAGGTGTTTTAGTTTCTCCTGCTTAAGAAATGCATTCCTTAGCTGTATTGCATTTTCCGCTTTTATGTCTTAACACAAACACACAGCTACAGAGTCGCGGATAAACAAACGAGCAAGCATGAAACTCTGAAGAAATCAAAAACTCTCCAGCATCTGTCGCGATTTTAATTCATCGCCTTCACCACACACACACTTTCCCGAGCTGAAATAAACCTGAGGTGCCATTCATGTTCTACAAAAGAAGGAGCGAGTCAAAATACTGAGAGGACGCGCTGCATAATTTTTTTCCTTGCCTCCCTGTTCAGTCATTATCACATCCCGGTTCAAGGACACATTTCCCCCAGAAGGCATTCACAACTTCTCTGCGCCTGATGTGAGGTGCTGAGGAGTTTTTTTTCCCTCCAAGTCACAGATAGAGAAAAGTTTCATTCAAAAATACAACTAGGACGAAACTGGGGGAAAGTTGAACTGATAGAGAAGTGTTTTATATATTGTTACGGACCTGAATCAATACGAACAGCTGTGAATATGAGACCTTTTCTCCAACACAGCATTTTTTACACAAAACATTCCTCCGGCAATATTGCTGACGCTGCGTAGACATGATTTGTCTGTCAGCGCTGTCAAACATCGGCCCGCTGACTCCTGACACCCGGGGACACTTTCAGATTAAATTGTCAGGAAAAACTTCTCTGTCCATCACAGCGCGGTGTGACCGAGCGTGTTTACCGGTCTATTCCTTCTCTTTAGGTCAATTATTACCGCCTGCATACGAAGAAGAAGAAGAAGAAGCAGACTGCCACAACTTCCACTTTAGTCCAAATGATGTTTCACTTGATATGAAAGATGAACGTGGTTTAAATTATCTATGAGCGTTTAAAATCTGTGGGTCTGAATCTGCAATGTGTCCTTATCTGCGCCATAACATGAAGAAATGCACCTTAAATTAATTATTCAAATATATTGATTTGAGTCTTAATTACTTACATACTACATGACTGTTGTGCCACCTGATACTTTTACATCTCTTTAATATTCCCATCTAACTTTTTCTGTTTTAATTTTGATTTTTTCTTGGACAACAAATATAGACGTTCTTACAAATTTAAATTTCATTTCAGTGATTTAAGTAATATTTAAAAGGAGACAGACAAGTAATGCATTTAAAGAAATATTATAGATGTGACCTTTAACCAAAGTAAGTAATAAAAACAGCTACTTTTTACCACTATGGGTATTAAATTCAGCATATTTCCCTCAAGGTTTAACTTTTTGACCTCATAAAAACTTTGACAGCGGTAAGACTTCCTCATGTTGCCGATATTAAACTGTTCCCCAAAACCAATGTCAAGTATAAAAAGGAGGTTGCTGATTGGAAATGAATCGTGCGTGTGAATGAGATAATCCATGATATATATATTCTAGCAAAACATTTGATAATGATTCTTTCAAACCAAACTACCACAAAGTCTGTATGATGGAGCAAAACATTGAGTCAAAAAAACACTTAATGCAGATTTAACTACACCTTGTTATTTGTTTTTTAGCCTGGCTAAGGTTGTTTGAAGGGATGAAGGTGAAACGAGACGACCCGCTAGGTGTGTAATGACATATTGATCGGGATTCAATAAAAAAAGATCCAATAATCTGGATGCAAAGGATAGATCACATCATCAGGAACGCTTACTTCTGAAAGAGCCCTGTAATGAAATGGTGAAAGTGAGTGGATATAGATGTAAGTGATTGTGTAAAAGGGGCATATGATATATCGATCGCAGGCCTCTAGATGGAATGGAGTTGTATTGCGGCAGACCTTGTGATATCTGATCCCTGTCCAAAGAAGCAATATCATATCCGAATGTGACGCTGTGACCTACATGGTGTGGCTCTTGTTCTCCACCAGGTTGATGTCTCCAGGCTGCAGCTCGGGGATCCACCTCTCCAGCTCCTCGATCCACGGATACTTCAGGGACGAGGGCACCACCACCAGCAGGGGCCACTCCTTCCTGTAGGCGTACGCAACAGCAATGGCTTGCACCGTCTTCCCAAGACCCATCTGGACGCAGAACATCAACACCCGGCGAAAGGGGAAAGAAAAACAAGTCAATTCAGCGGCGGCTCTGCAGTAAATCACACATGACGGCTGGGGCTGATGTGCGGCCCAAGAGTAATAAGGTCTCAGAATGATTCTCGTGTCAAAAGCGATTAGGCAGGTGGGAGTGCTGCGCTGGGCTGACAAATTAATTTGGACGGCACGCAGCGAAGTCCCACACTCATTTTTTGGGGGAGAAATAGATTTCCTGAGCCGGCGTTGTGTGGGCTTACCTCATCAGCGATCATGCATCTGTAAAACAAAAGAAAACTTTGTCAGAGCTGCCCTGGTTGTTATATAAAGAAGTATTACATATACAAAGGGGCTTTGCTCAAGGGCATCAGTCATTAGAGAGGATTTCATTGTCTTCCTTGTCCTGGAATTCCTGCTTTTCCGAGGGTTCAAACTAGAACAACGTTTCCTCTCAAATCTCTGTGGCCGCAGACGACACACACACCGTCACCTCACACACACCGTCACCTCACACACACCGTCACCTCACACACACCGTCACCTCACACACACCGTCACCTCACACACACATGCTCTCGGACATATTGCAGATCTGTCACTTGTAATATATGTCTGCACTGGTGCTTTGTCTCAGTTTGACAAGTGCTGTTGCTATTCAATATTTATGTTGTTGTTGTGCTGCTTATTGGAAATGCCTGTGTCTTCGGAGAGTGCCTACTGAGTTTGGGTTCAGGAAGGAAAAACAAGTATGTAATTTGTTTTGAATCACGGCTTGTTGAGTTGCCACACAATAATCAAAGTTTAAACATTAGGATCCAGGCTATATCTAACAAATATTTTAATTATCAATTAGATATTCTATCAATTAACCATTAAACCAGTGGTTCTCAACTGGTGGGTCACGACCCACCCGTTTCGAGCGGGTCGCAGATGTGTGAGTGAAAAAAGAGAGAAAAGAAATTGGGGGAAAAAGTCAAACTTTTATTTTGAAGGCCCGATTTTCTAACGCTGTGCATGCAGTAGGCGTTGGACTGGAAGTACCGGAGACCAGTAGTCACGTAGTGATCATCTTCTCAATAAAATATCTTTGCTGATGTTTTTTCGAGTCTTCTGGCCAATCAGAATCAAGAGTGTTGCCGGAAGTCCCCACGGAGAATAACTTTGCGGTAGAACTATTCTTTATACATCCATGGGTACAACTTCAGATCAAAATGAACACATAATGAAATATGACCCCCGGTTTGATGATTGACAGGTCACAGAACAATGGGGTCTATCTACCCTTACCCACAATTTAAAGTAAGTCACACAGACTATCTCCTCTTTACTCTTCTCTCTGTGAGGAGCAGCAAGTTCAGATGTCAGAACAAAGTGAAACACAAACAATGGCATAAAATATTATTAATATGTCGGGTAGTGATAGATTTATTTATTTTCTTCTCAGAGTGTAGCAGAATGCGTAGTTTATATGTTAGTATTTCTAAAAGTCTCCTGGGGGGGAATCTCCCAGTAGACTTTAGTTCTGTGAAGAGATATATGCACTGCACTTCACTTTCATTAATATTGTATGCTGAAAAGCGTATATATTACAGCACGATTTTTTTTGAATAGATTTGAGTGGTTCAACATTTCGGGTTGCGATTTATTGACAAATGAAAAAAGTGTGTCCCGAGGCCTGACCAGTTGAGGACCACCACGCTAAAGGGTCACTGAGCAGGTTTCCCCCTCACTGATTGAGCTGATATGTTCAATGTTTGTTGTGTCTTGATATTTGTCTGTTGATGTTACACATGGAGCTGCTGTGAGGCAAGTCCCATTTCAGACTTGATCTGACAAATAAAGTATTACGGTATCATCGTGTCCTATTGGCTAGATTTAGCATTTAGAAACATTCACCAATTTGACGTTTACTGAAAGCGCTGCATAAACAAAACGGTAAACAACTAAGAAACTAATAGAAAACGTCCCGTACATTTACTGTACATTAGTCAGTGTCTCTGTGCATGAGAAGTGTAGCTCTCCTCTCGACACAGATACAGGTTGGTTCTTTATTCTTGGAGATATAAACGTGTAACTCCCCTCTTCCGTTGCGCCGTGAGAACTACACCAAAAAACAACACATACAAATATATGAAGGAAAATAGGACATGGCGCCCACATGAAAACATGAAACAAATACCTCGTTGGTCGCTTGTCGTGAAAGGAGATTATTTGTACCAGTGCTACATGAACACACATTAATTCCTTATGGACAAAAACAACAAACACTTGAGGTCATTATTATCTGTCTGCAAATTGGTGTAACATATAAAAGAAAACTGTATTAAATCATGCCATATTCTAACAATTTTAATATTACATGAAATAAAGTATTTATTTGTTATGAAATGTACACTGCAAAAATGTTAAATCTTGCCAAGTATATTCGTCTAATTTCTAGTCAGAAGATGTCGTTACACTTGAGACTTAAGAACTTAAGTCTTGTTTTTAGACAAGGCATCTTTTTAAGTCAAACTCTTAAAAACATCCAACTAACATCAGAAAACAGAACGTGTCGAAGCATTTCTGGATTTTTTTTGTTACAAATTCCATAATTCTGGTCAAATATATTTCAAAATACGTTTTCCCAGCTAAATACAAGATCTCATTTACAGTGGGGCAGAAAAGTATTTAGTCAGCCACCAATTGTGCAAGTTCCCCCACTTAAAAGGTTGTCTCATTCTGTCTCTCGTAGTTGAGGTATACCTAGGATGAAAATGACAGGCCTCTCTCATCTTTCTAAGTGGGAGAACTTGAACAATTGGTGGCTGACTAAATACTTTTTTGCCCCACTGTATCTAAATATCCCATCTTTACTTCAAGAAATCTTACCAAGCCATTTCGTACGTTATTATATATTTACTCGTTCTTTGAGCAGCATTTTTCCAGTGTATTAGGTTATTCTTTTTAAATAAGGCAACTTTGATACATCATTTACAAGAAGCATTAGTGAAAGCAGCGTATGGGGAATGTCCATTTTCAGTGTTTTCTCAGCTACTATTCGGAGCAAGTGGAGCATGAGGGCGCTGTTAAAATATTCAGTGTTTCCCATGACCTCCCCATGTTTCCCCGCTCTCCCTCGTTCTTGCGTAATCTTACATAAGGCGATGAATATTTAAAGCGGGTTTAGCTCGAGTGCCGCTTGTTTGCCGCTGAAGGAACGAGGACGATAGTTAAATTCACTGGAGAGAGGTGACGCTGATGGGAAAACACAAAACAAGAGACGACAGTTGGAGATAATTAAAGGATGTGTCATGCAGTCTCAGTCACCTGCTGGTGTTTGAGTTTGATTGAAACGTTTACTCTCCGAAAGAACAACCTGACAGATGAGAACGTGTTCACTATCGAGTAACTCCACCATCAGGTAGTTTCACATGCAAATCCACAATGTTCATTCATTCCAGCAGCTATGTGAAGAAGTAGAGATCTCTTATTGTGTCTCACTGTGAAAACAATTCTGCTTTTTCCTACATCTCCCAGAATCCCTTTTGAAAGCTTTTAAAGAGTCCTCTCCTGCTGATGTTCAGGTGTATATCAGTATGTAGTGTCTCTACTTTAAAGAGTCCTCTCCTGCTGATGTTCAGGTGTATATCAGTATGTAGTGTCTCTACTTTAAAGAGTCCTCTCCTGC